TATAAATATCGGAAATAAAAAGTTGTTTCATAAAAATAAATACTTTTAAACTCTGTTTTCAGAGCGAATCTCAATCTTAATTAAGAATATAACGAAACTATCGGTAGAGATGTGTTTAAGTTTACCACTGGTTGTCCCAATCGGGTTCTTCGTTATCTTTCTTATCCTCTTTGGTAACCACAGTGTTATCGTTATCCCAATTGCTATTATCATTATCATCGCCCCATTCTTCGGCATCTTCATTGCCCTTATCATCAGTTCCCCATTCATCTGTACCTTTGTTGTCATCATTGGTGGCAACATTACCGCTGTTCCCATTGTCGCCCCACTCTTCCGTATCTTTATTCTCTTCTGACGCCCAATTGGTGTCTTCGTTACCATTATCTGCCCATTCATTGGATTCTTTGGTCTCTTTATCATCGGTTCCCCATTCATTGGTATTGTCATTGGTATCCTTCTTATCATCGGTTCCCCACTCGTTAGTGTCCGCATTGTCTGCGCTCTCTTTAGTATCAGTTCCCCATTCATTGGCATCTTTGTTGTCTGCACTACTTGTGCCTTCATTTTCCCAATCATTGTTCTCATTATTCTCTTCATTGTTATCTTCAGCGCCCCATTCATTGGTAGCGGTATTATCATCATTATTACCATCAGTCGCCCACTCGTTATTATCATTATTGTCTTCATTCTTCTTGTCTTCAGCCGCCCATTCATTAGCATCTTTATTGGCATCAGTTGCCCATTCATTAGTGCCTTCAGTTTCTTTCTGGTCTTCAGTGACACCTGTATCCCAATTGCCGTCATTTTGTTCACCATTTGTCTTATAATCGTTGTGCGCGTTATCATCGGTCCACTCATTGTCGACCTCGTCTTCGCCCCTTTCCAGCGATATGTTCTTCGGCTCCGTTTTAATCTGCACTTCATTCTCACAATCAAAGTATTCGGACTCCTCTCCACCTATAGCTGTCTTCAATTCGCGTCTGTCATAACTGCCGCCACTGGAGGAACCGCTACTCCCATTACCCGCACTACCATTACTTCCACTACCATTGCCTCCATTTGACAACAGTTTCTCCTTGTATTTGCGGATCTCTTCCAAGAGTTTCTTCTGTTTCTCTTCAAGTTTATTACTTTTCCACAAATCCTCACGAGTGGGCAAATCAATGAATGTGGTCTTCGACGACATCTCCGAGAATGACATTTCGGTTCCCGTATTCTTAAGCACCGGTTTGGGACTCACGGCTGGGGTCAACGTCTCGGTCCCAGTGCTACACGTTTTCGGCAGTTTAACGAACGAAGTATTGGTGGCTATACTGCAGGTCTGGGTTCGGGTGACCGAAGTCTCGGTGCCTTTCGTACTCATACGACGGCTCTCGACAAACGAAGTGTTGGTCCCAATACTGAAGGTCGGGATCACTTTGGGCTCAACGCGTTCGACGCTCTCCACGCTATCGTCACACGGCTTATGACGGAGTGTGACGTGCGGTACGAGCTCTCCCTTCGCGCGCTGACTCTTGAGGAACTCGATCTCTTCCATCAGTTCTCGAATTCTGCGATTCTTGGGATCTTCATTGATGTGCACGTAATTGACTATTTCTCGAGCCCGAGCCGCGTATCGCAATGTACTCAACGTTTCTTCCAAATGACATTTAGCGGGACTTATGGTTGCGATCATTGATGTGCGCGAATTGCCGCCCAGACTGTCCTTCAGAAGGTATGTCAGTATTGAATCCCTATAAGGAATGTGCGCCACTTTATGCCGATTTCGGCCCAATTGGGACAACTTTGTGATCACTTTTCCCAAATTAAGTAGTGATGTGTTGATAAGCGAACCCTCTTTGAGCCGTTCACCGCTTGTGCCGGATATACCGACGCGTTCACTGCCGGCCAAATCAATCAGATTGATGCGCGACCCGCAACACGAGCTCACGTCGTGATCCAGACCCTCAATCTCTCCCGTATTCCGCAATTGTGACAATACTATAGTGAATATAGAGTGGGAACGACTGCTCTGTTCGTTGGCAGCTGTAGAAGCCGTGGCCCGACGTCTGGTCCCTTTCGATAAGAGTTCAATCGCTTCATTATAAGTAGTGACCGAATGCTGGGACAAGTGCTCCACGTATGGGCCCGACTGCGGGTGCTCTCGGATGCGAAGTGTCTTCTTATTGATGAGCTTATCGTCGGACAAGAGGTCGTAGATCTTCTCGTTATAAATCTCGCAATAACTGACGTCAACAGAGAATACAATGTCGTATAGGGTTTGGATGCGTTTGAAGAGTTCGCGCACAAAGCGAGGAATGACACCCAAATTGGATTCCGTGCCCGTCATTGTGAAACTCTTGCCGCTCCCGGTCTGGCCGTAAGCAAACATACAGACGTTGTAGCCCTCGATCGCCCGCTCCAGCAATGGTCGGCCCATTTCGACGAACACCTTGTCCTGATCGGCGAAGTCGAACAGATCCCTGTCTGACGAGTTCAGTGTGTAATCAAAGCCAAATTCCAGTCGATTGTATTTATCGTTATCCGAATTGATTATACGGACGGTATTGCCGGACATCTCGACCACCGGCTCATCCGAGCGATCGTTCTTCAGGAACGGTCGCAAACGTACGGCCACTTGTATAGCGGATCCGCTCACCGATTGCGCCACATTGTAGTCCACTTCGTCACTGGTTTCGTGTCTGACCACTGATGACGTGTCTGAGCCCGAGTCGTCAGACATCGATGAGATCATGTGGTGACCCATCTGTTGCTCGAAAGCCTTTTTAGCCAAAGAGTGCCGCACTTTCTCGTCGTCGCACTGGAGGCCGACCGCGACGTTCACGTTAACAGACAGACGGTTCGGGTCTCCCTTTCGGTCCAGTGTTTGCAACGGAATCGTTAGCGTCTTTCGGTGAATGTGTGAGCCGTCGGTCGGCGTCAGTACCGATGATCTGTTTAAACAACACATTAATAAACACACCAATAGATTGGGAGATAACGAAGAGGTCATACTTATGGACTGTTTTGTTCGGTACGTTAATAGCGGTCTTCACCAAAGTCTTGGGTTCGGGCGGTGACGCGGATGGGCCGGAATCGGGGGTCGACTCGCGGGACACACTCTTCGAACGGACGCAATTGTTTAGGGGTTTAACCGCCGATGCGTTACAATCGCCGCCAAAGACATTACTGGACGCGAATATTGGCGACGTTTGACTAGTGGCCGGACTCTTGACGACCGTTTTGTGGGCGCAATCGTTGCCGCCATCGGGAGTGTCGGTGGGTTTGATGAGCGGCCGATTGAGGTGCTGTCGCGACCGACACGGCCTGTCGATGCGTTCGGACGACTTGGCCCGCGTCGGGTCCTGCCGTCTGGTGGCCGACACGAGGGGTTCGGCGAATCGGAGGCTTTTGCCCGGCGATGGGTCGCGCTTTTTGACGACAGTCGCCGACCGATGAGTGACCGGACGGTAGATACTGTTCGGCGTCTGACGGATATAACAGACGCCGTCCGGCAGATCGGATGGCGTGGGACTGACGGCCAGCGGGTCTGTGGGCGACGTCG